GGAGGAACAGTGACACATTAAAGAACACTATAAATAGAAGTAGCCCTCATTTATTTTAGGTTGTTGAACCCTCAACTAACAGACTCTCTCTCTCTACTTTCTCTCTCTACACACTTGTAATACTCGTAGCAAATATCTGCAATTGTAAGAAAGGTACCGACCTCGTACGAGAGGCCGATCTCGTGATTATATAATAAACCGTGATTATTTCGCATTTTCTCTCCATCTATCCATTTCGCATTTTCATCACATTTTATTTTAACCGTTAATCGGATCCGTCTATCAACACGCATATGATGCCCTTATGTAATCCCAAATCCACAAACTGGACATTTCAGAATCTAGCACCCAGTCATCTTGGATTAAATCAGTCAGGAACATTAGTTGGAAGATAAAGACCAAGAAGAAGATCAAGCACTTTATTTGGAAGTGCTTTTCAGGTATTCTTCCCTCCCAAAACAACCTGAAGAAGAAGGGCTTGAAATTGGACAACATCTTGCTCCAGTGACTTGGACTGAACTGAATACGGAAGTCCCTTGCTTTAAAAATTGGTGGAAGAAGTTTGCATGATTCACGAATATAAGGCTGCTGAAGACCGACTCCAATTAACCACTACATTCTTTGGTGGTTGTGGAAGTCGAGAAACTTGTGGGTATTTAAAAACAATGGATTTCAGAGAAAACTTTAATTGATGGAGCCTCCTCTGAATGGCTTGAATTCTCTGTGGTTTAGTTTTTTTTTTAGTCTTTTTCAGTTTTTTATGTTGAGCTAGCAAGGTAGTTATTTTAGTTACTGGTTATATTGGTTTAGTCTAGTAGCAGAACTAAGGGCCTCAGTATTCTATACTGCCCTATAGTTTTGCTATTAGTCTCTTACCTCTACTAAGCCAAGTCTGTTGGATCTCCTTTGTCTTTGTGCTTAGTTTGTCTAGTCTGTCTAGTTGGTTTGCTATGTACATATTCTACTGTGGCTTGTAGGTCGTGTACCAAAATCTTGCTTTGTTTTTTTCTAAGAGCACCTGCATTGGTGCATTATTTTGGACCATTTAAATGCATTGCACCCCATTAAACCAATGCACACATTAATTAATTTGTGGGCCTAAGGGTATCATTCAAGAAGCTTAATGGATCTTTCACCATTTTTTATTTTTATTTGGTACTTTTTGTCCAGCTGCCTTTTTTTGTTCAACGGCTATTTTTTAGCCTCTTTTATTTTTTTATTATTTTTTTATTTTAACGGCTCTTTTTGAAGCCACTTCTATTTATTTTTTATTTTTTAACACTTCTCTTACACAAAAAATTAGCAATTGCTCATTTTTGAAAAAAAAAAAATGAATCCCAATAATAGGCAAAACTTTCAAAATTTTTCAAGTTCTAATCCTACTAATCCTGGTGAATTTTCACAAGCTCCTTATCCTGCATAATTTTTTCCACAATTCCCATCAAATTTTCCTTTTATGCAACAATCTTAAAATTATCCACTGTCTGGCAATATTCAATATTCACAATATCCTCCACAAGCTTCATTTCAGAACCCACCACCTGAATATTGGCAGTACATAAGTAGTCAAAATCTGGTGCAATCTTCTTCGCAACAATCGAGTCAATCTTCCGGATCTCAAATGAGGAAAGAACTCAATACTCAAACTTATGTTCCGGAAACACAATTGCAGGATTGTGAAACAGCTATAAATGCTGAAATGCCAAGAAACACACGTGTTGTAGCTGAGGGCCGGAAAAAACGTCCACAATGGACAACGGAAGAGGACGTGCTATTGGCAAAAGCTTATGTGACAATAAGTGACGACCCTATTACCGGTAATGATCAAAAGGCCGAAGCGTTTTGGGTACGTGTTACAAAATATTATAATGAAAATACACCTTCTGATTATATTTCTAGAGATTTGAATATGATAAGATCTCACTGGCATAATACAATTCAATAAAAGGTGTATCGGTTCAATGAGTGCTATAACAGTATTTACGGTGTGTATCGAAGTGGTTGTAGTGATGAGGATATATTAAGTCGGGCTTACGAAAAATATCGTAGTGAGAATAATGGTGTAGCCTTCAATCTTGAGCATGTGTGGAGAATCCTAAAAGATCGTCCTATGTTCACTCCACAATCTTCTAATGATATTTTTGTTGAGAGAAAAAAAACGAGGATTGATGAGTCTGGTGCCAGCAACACTTCATCAAAGGGGGATGCGAGCATTGATCTAGATGAACTTCATGAAGTGGCTCGCCCAATCGGACAAAAGGCAGCCAAACGAAAGGCCAAGGGCAAAGGAAAATCTAACCTTGATGAGATGATCGCAGAATACAACAACATGGTTAAGCACCTTGCTGAGTTAACAAGCTTGAAAAAAGCTGAAGTTGAAGTTAAAAAAGCAACACTTGAGGAAAAGAAGCAGAGGAATCGTCGAAAAGACTATGATATTTTAATGAGGGACACAAGTCACATGACCCAAGAGCAACGTATTACTCATGAGAAAATGTGCCAAGTAATTCGAGAGAAATGGAACTTTTAGACTTCGCATTATCTATTTTAATTATCCTTGTAATTTTGTATGTTGTAATTTGCAAAATTAAATTTTCAGCTTATATTTCATTTACGTTTTTCTTGTTATTCAAAGCAAACTCACATATTTTATTCAAAGGAAAGTCACAATATTTAAAACAAACTCACATATTTCCTAGTCAAAAGAATGAAGCTTCCTCACAATTTCCTAGTCAAAGGAAGGGAGCTTCCTTACAACTTCTTGGTCAAATAAAGGACTTCCTAGTAAGTTCTTAGTCAAAGGAAGGGAGCTTCCTCGTAAGTTCCTGGTCAAATGAAGGGAGCTTCCTCGCAACTTCATCAAAAGAAGCATTAGTTTGGCTATAAATACCTCATTTTGTATCCCATTCCAAGTGAAAGAAAAAGAAGAATCCTCACAAAATGTCTCAAAATTCATATAGATCTGAGTCTAATTAATCATCATCTACCGATAGTGAAGATGGTGAAAACACTAACGATTTAGAAGTTGAAATGATTTCATCAATCATTCAACGAAGCCACGAGTTACTTCAAGCATACCAACATGAAACTGAAGTTCGTAGAAGAAGAAGGTTCATCCAGAGAAATCGAGAAGATGGACATAATAGACTTGTAAGTGATTATTTCTCTGATCATCCTGTCTACCCGGATCATATATTTCGTAGGCGTTTCCGTATGCGAAGAGAATTATTCCTTCGAATTGTGAATGCACTTCAGACACAATCATCATATTTCCAGCAAAACTTTGATGCATCAGGAAGACAAAGTTTGTCACCACTTCAAAAATGCACAACAGCCATTCGTCAGTTGGCTTATGGAGTCCCAGTTGACCACCTTGATGAGTATTTACGTATGGGTGAGTCAACTGCTATCAAATGTCTTTTTAAATTTTGTGAAAGTGTGGTTCAAATTTTCGGTGATGAATATTTGAGAAGACCGAACAGTAGCGATGTTCAAAGACTCCTCCAAATGCATGAAGAAAATCATAGTTTTCCAGGTATGCTTGGAAGCCTTGATTGTATGCATTGGGAATGGAAAAATCGTCCAGTTGCTTGGAAAGGCCAATTTACAAGAGGGCATGGGTCTCCTACGATTGTCCTTGAAGCGGTTGCTTCACACGATTTGTGGATATGGCATGCCTTTTTTGGTGTTGCAGGATCACGTAATGATATCAATGTATTGTATGAATCTCCTCTATTTAATAATGTGTTGCAAGGAAATGCACCAAACATTCATTTTACTGTCAACGGCACGCAATATGCAAATGAGTATTATCTTACAGATGGAATATATCCAGAATGGGCTACGTTTGTAAAGTCTTTTCTTTGCCCATCAGATCCTAAAAGAAAGTTATTTAAAGAAAAACAAGAAGCTGCTCGAAAGGATGTGGAAAGAGCATTTGGGGTGCTTCAGTCTCGATGGGCAATTGTAAGAGGTCTTGCTTGATTTTGGTATAGAAGAAAACTGAAATTTGTTATGTTGACATGCATTATTCTATACAATATGATTGTTGAAAATGAAGGAGTTGTAGTAACAAATTGGCACAATGACGAGGATGAAGAGCCCATACAACCTGTCCAGGGTTCAAATCGAGAATTTCAAAATTATATCCGTAGAAGTTCAGAGATACGAGATAACACAGTTCATCATCAACTTCGTGCCGATTTAGTTGAGCATATTTGGACTCATTTTAGCCACTAAAAAAATTATATTATGTAATTGTATTATTTTTTTCTTGTGTAATCTTAATTTAAGTTGTTTTGGTATTGTAGTGTGCTTTTATTTTCATGTTTTAAAATTTATTATTATAATTTTAAAAATATTAAATTTTTATTTTTATTGAGAATAGAATATTAAAATTGATATTGAATGAATGGATATAATGGGCCCCATATTTGTATTTAAATGAATGTGTAGGGATGTGGGTGTGTATTTAAATGGAGAGAGAATTAGTGGAAAGGTGACGTGGAAATGATGTGTAAGAGAGATAGTGTACTTTGTTTATTGAATGAATGAAAAAAAAATTAAAACCCTAATCTATAATATTCTTCATTTCGAAAAAGAAAAAAAAAAAGTGCAAAGGACAAAAAATGTAACAAAGTTAGAATTAGAGATTGAGGATAAGTAGTAAATACAAAACATACATCCATTTGTATGATGAGAGTAGGAAAAAGTTATGCACGCACATAACTTAAAGTTCACGAAATGATTAAATTTATTATATTTTTTTTCATATAAAGTTCCTTATTTATATATTTAATGAAATTTCTAAAATTTAGGGGTCCATGAGGCCCATCCAATTCAATGGATATTAGAGGGTAATAGTGTCATTCCGGCACGAATACAAATATACAATGGTATATGGGACAAAGTTAAAATCGTCTCTGCAACTAAATTCCCTTTCCCTCCCAACATGGTATAGCCTTTTAGTACAGCCTATACTGACACGCCTCTCTCTCTCTCTCTCTCTCTCTCTCTCTCTCTACATTACATCCACACTATACACTACACACTTTATAATGATCACCCCACTCAATCATCTCTTCAAAATTCCACATTACAAAGATAACCCCAATTTCACCGCATAATCATGGAGCAGCCTCAATTTCAGCCCATTTTCAAGCCGCCGGAAACTCCGACGGAGACGATGGAGTTCCTTTCCCGATCGTGGAGTCTCTCGGCTCATGCAATCTCTAGAGCTCTAGCTCCGCCGCCGGCGTCAGAGCACCAGGCTACCAACAACCCACAAAAATGCGCCGTTAAAGTTGCCGCCCAGACCATACATGAGGACGCCGACGCCGAGCTGGACGAGCCGCCGGCTCCGGCCTCCTTACTAAGAAACCCCTTCTCGTTTTCTTATTCGGACACGTCTCAGCTCATCATGGAGCGTATAATGTCTCAATCTGTGAGTGAAACATCGATTTTTTTAATATCATGTCAGAAAAATCTGTTATTTATTTATTTATTTTATGTTTCTGCCCTGCTAATTGTTTTTATTTGTCGATTTGGTGAGTATTCTTGTGTGTTCTTTTCTGTTGCGTATAAATGGAATTTGCAATAAATTGTTCTGTGGTGCCAAAACAAAACATTTATATTCTTGTCCTTATTTATATGCTAGTCCTGTTTGCGCTCGTCTCTGACTGAAAATTTATCTTTGACAAATTAAACTAATTATCAGTTTTTGCTGCTTTCTAATTTTCTATTGTTGATTTCACATTGAATCTCCTTAATTTTTATTTCCTTTTTCGTGTGGAGTTGTTTCTCATTATCTTTTTACCAGTTTGATCTGCTTCTATTTAAATTTTATTGTGGTGATAGCAAACCAAACAAGGCGCTTATTAAAAGCTTTTGATGGGAAAGCAAGAACATGAGTCTCTTGGAACTTTAAAGCTACGTAGGAGGCATTTATTAACTATTAAGTAGGTTGAATTATGAG